TGACAAGATTGAGTAACATGAATGGGAGGAGATACCCTTGCCACTTCAGCATAGTTCAAGCCAGAAGAACTTCCCGCCTTTTTTAAAACTTTTATGTTATCGACCGACTCAGCCGTAGCAGAAACACTAAGATTCTTTATAGACTTTAAGGAATCGCTAATTTGCACCGACGGAACGGACTTCGGAGAACTCAGAGGTGACGAACCACACGCTACGAGTTGAACCTTTATTAGCTGGAGACGAAGATAACTGCGCAATATAACGACACTCATCAAACCTAGTCTTGATTAATTAAAATTTCTTCCATAAAGAGCCGAGATTTTTGCTCAAATCTAAGAAACAATTTCTCGTCTCCGTGAAGAATTTGTAGAAATCAATGTCCCGCTTTCTGCAGCCAGAAGATGACCATCGTAAACCTTTAGAAGGGTCAAGGACTGCATCAGCAGCACGACCGGTAATACCAGCACACTTTGCATGTCCAAAACGATCACACAGCCAACAAGAAATGAATCGTTCAGATTCAGGGCCCGTTTTCGCACGACATGGTGTAAATAAACAATCCATGTCCATTTAAAACAAAAAAACCTACCTTATGAAGGAAAAATAGAAAAACTAAAAAAAAAATATTTTTTCCACGGCACAAATTTTCAAGAAAATTAAAGCAAATTTCTCACTTTCCTGCCCACTGTAAATATAGAGCGAAAGCTAAAGAAACTGTAAACACAGATTAACAGGCAAAAAGAGAGACTTTTACTAAGAGCTCAATTGTTGCTTACAATAAATATTATATTCATATACGTTAAGTTCACACTATTCTTTTAGAGAATTTTTTAAAATTAAACACGAATAAAGCAAAAAAGCTAACAAATACACTAAAAAAATTAAAATAATTTTTGCACAGAATAAAAACGCGACTACAAGACGCACCATGCCAAACTTGGCAACTCTGCGTTGGCAATTCCTTAAACCTAGTCCATTGTCTAAACATAACATTTTTTTCTACTATTTTGTTATACTAGAAAATACATATTAAAATATAAAAAAAAAACAGACAAAACATTATTCCAGTAGCGAAGAAAATTAAATAACGTAGCATCATTAATATTGGTTTTTTTCATATAAGGATGTATACGAAGATCAAGAATAGCATATTATTTAAACTTAATATTTTTGTTTACTAACGTTATTTAAACGTTTGGACATTCCTCTCGTTTTTGCAGCAACGACTTGCGGCGACCATGGCAACGAGCATTTTATGATTTGGTATACATTGCGTCAAAGAACTCGGACAATTGGTGTTTACGGATAGAATTGTAAACTAAGAAAGTTATTTAAGGATATTGAAGAAAAATTTTAAAGAAAGTGCGGACGAACTTGATATTTTGGAAACATTTAAATTCCACCTAGATAACGAACTCAACCATAAGTCCAGCTTAATTAAAGAATGACTCTTATATAACTGCCACAGTATTTTGGAAGGAGAAGATACATGTACAACTGATGAGAGACAGGAGACATATGCTTACGTTGAAGCTATAGTAAGCCGAATGCAGCAGAGCTATGCAACCATACAAGAATTTGGAGAACAAGAGCAAAGGAAACAAGAAAACGACAACTTGGTAGGAAGGCAAAATACAGCTACAGCAGTAAAAAAATGCAGCGCAGAAAAAGGCAAAGATACAAATATACCAAACGCCGTTGTTATGCAGTTTATGCAACAAACGCAACAACAAAGGCAAAAACAAATACAACAAATGCTGCAAATGCAATAAGTCCAACAGCGAGTGCAACAGCAAATACTGTTCGGACAACAAGAAATAGAATCAAAAATTGACGGGACGACGGAAAAAGTCGAGAAAATTCAGGAAAATGAAGATATACTGAAAACTCGTATACACAAAGTGTATCAGCAAATTGATGGCGAAATTAATGCGCAGGAAGGAAAGTTTGACAATGCGCTAAGCCAGTTTGATGCCAGACTGAATGCCTTGGAAGCAAAAGTCACTTAAGTAATAAGTTAATTTGATTCGAAGGTTGAAGTCTTAGAAGAAAAAATGGGTGGAACGTTGAACCAGCCTGCAAACTTACGAAGCGAAATCGACGCCTTCAAAGAACAAGCCACTAAACAGCAACTTGGTGTTGGAGGCAGTGGTTCTAAAGTTCAAGCCTTCAACACTGATGACGCGTGCAATGTGCTATGTGAAAAATGTCCGAAGAAACAGAACAAGAACAAGAGACCAAAAGCAACCGCGCGCAAATGCTACAACTGCGACGAAGTTTGGCACATTGATCGAGAATGTAAATTTTGGAGAAAAGACTCGCACTTGAGGTTGCCCACAAACAGCAAAGCAGGCGTACAACATAAACGCCATATTAAAGGAGATAAATGGAAAAAATTGCCAGATGACTGTTGCAGGCAAAAACATGTAGAGAATACCGTAGACTCAAGCAGGTAAAAAAGATCACGAAGAACGCATGCATAAGGACCAGAATGCTAAAGAAAATATCGTTGTTCGTCGGATCAAGATTTAGGCAGATGTTAAGTTCTCAAAGGAAGGCGTGCGAAACGCGCCGCTAGCCGAGGAGAAGGTCCAAACGGAGAGCACTTTGGCGTTACGAAAACTGTGAAGGAGATTAAACGGAGATTTTACTGGGTAGCATGCCGCAAATGAGTAGCAGCTTGGATTCATAGCTATGAGGAAAGTGGTAAATCAAAAGTAGCGAGAAATAAGCTGAAAGGCCAAAGGCGGCCAAACCGATTTACCGACAGAAATCAAAACGCAAGTAAGACATTGAGGGCAGAAAGCGAGCTTTGTTGACGGAGATCTGGTACAACTGTATAAGTCATCGCATAGTGACAGATTATCAATAAATTTGTAATCTAACTGGGAAGGATCGTACAAAGTCATCACGAGCATAGCTGATAAAGCCTGTTGCATCCAGAAATATCAGAAAGGCGAAACTACAAGTAAGGTAGCATACGTCAGCAAGCTGATAGCTATTGAAAATGACCTTGTTTGGGACGAACAAGATTAAGTGGAGGGCAGTGTTACGGAAATCCCAAATCCACTTCAATCCAACTAATTGATTTCCCGAAATAATAAATTCCCTAGAAAGGGAAAACCCAAACGATTAGCGGAAAAGCAGGGTAACGGATTAAAAATAAAGGCATGAATTTAGGTAATAGTAATATGCTTGTGAAAATGTATATAGATTAGAATATATATATATAGAATATTTGCAAAAGGCAGAATAAGTCGGATAAAAACCGGTCAGTTGAAAAAGAATATTTGAGTTGAGAAGTCGACAGTATTGCCAAAGTAAAACGTAAACAGTCCTACCCTTAAGCAAATTGAGTCTAAAAAAAGAGACTTGTAGAGGAAACGTGCAAGTGTATTTCTCTTAAAAAAACGCCGATTTAGCGATACGAACCGTATCCGAGAAGAACGAATTTCTTTACAATATATTTTAATATGTATTCCCTAATGGTACAAAGAGTAAAAAAAACTTTTATGTTTGGATGATGGACTAGGTTTAACAAACGAAAAAACTTAATATTAATGAGACTCACTGCAAATGAAACAAATGTGTAAATGAAATAAATCTTGTAGCAATAAAAAATATTTAGTAAAACGTTCAAAGCTTGCTTTAATACACAATTAAATATGTGTATTTCCAGCCTTCAACGGTTTCGTTTTGAGGCTATTTTTATGACTTTGCTTCCCTTTGGTGCTTAACTATTTTTTATTTTTTTTCGTCTTTTTTTTGTGGATGTTTCTTCGTCCGCCAAGCTTTTCTCGCAAAAATATCGTTGTTTAACCAATCTTTCAATATTTTTAAGATGTTTGGGCAATTGCATGAATTAAAAAAAATTAAGAAAACGAGAGATGTCAAATTCCTGAAGCACAATTATCACTTCTTAATAATCGAATAATTTCATTCTCTTAAAACTACAAGATTAAAGCTATAAAAAAAAATCGAAGAGAAAAGACCTGTGCATGTATGCTCCGTTTTGTCTCTACTTTAAACGATAAAGCAGATAAAGTATGCACGATAATAAATTGCACATGACCTATAGATCAATTCATAAATTACATGTTGACCTAATAAACATCCTCGACTTATCTTACCTCTTCTTCCCTTTGGTGCTGTTATCGTTTTTTGTGCTAATTGTTGTTTCCGGTATTATTATTGTTGCTGCTTCGTAAGTATGTTTCGTAAGTTTATTGTTCTCTTGCTTTTCGCCCTGCTTGTCTCTGTGGCCGCCAGTGAAGGTTGGTTGGCCAATAAAAATTTTTGTAGAAGATCGCATTTCAATATGCTACACAGAGTAATCTTTTAACCAAGGAGTGTCTGTGTTAATCATTGTTGCTTTATTGTCAGAGACAACGCTGTTATGGCTCCTTTTTGCCACTACACCCAAAAAGAGGGAAGCACAAAAAAAAAGGAAGAAAAGAAATATCCTTTTTTTTCCTTCTCAAGTTACACTTTTATGAACTACTGTACAATTTGAAATATCAAATTTAAATTTTTGCTTTTTTCCGCGTAACTGCTGGCCAATGGTACGAAATGATCACGAGCGCAGTTTATCACGAACTTGTGCACTATTCGAGTTGTTTTTTTTTTAGATTTTTTAAGTTTATGTTTACTTGTACATCATAATAAAGACCGTGCAAAGCACGTCTCAACCTAGAGTAAAATGTGTGTATATCGAACTCACACTAGATTAGACTTTATATAAACTGCAAACATGCGCCAAAGAACCAGAATATTATCCATTTATAACTCGGATTTCCTTTATATAAATTATAGAACGAGCGCTCACCATGATAGATCGTGAAATTGTACACATATGTGAGTCATAGACTTTGTTCCACTATTCAGTGTTTTACTTTCACCTATTATTTGTTTAATAATGTGATGAATGAAAAAATTGCATTCACAATCCCCGAGATAAACTGATCTCAGTTGTTGAAAATGAACAGTAGTCTGTGGGGTGAAATTTTGTAAGTGCAATAAGCAGTAGCAATGCTCGTAGGGATATAAGAAATGATGTTGAAAAAGAAAGCGGGCAACCCTACTACTGTAGAAAAGTTAACTATTTTTTATCGCTAATCTTAATTTACGAAGTTCTTTTTTGACACTTTTTACTTAAATGTTTATTAAACTTGAAAGTGGTTGTTTCTGCGATAACAAGTCATCAACTGATGTTTCTCTTGATCATCTCTGTGCTTGTGTTAACATCAACGTTTGTATGAATGTACACTTTACGGTTTTAAACCCACGGTAAATACATTCTTTTGGAAATTAACTGTACACCGAGCAACTCTCTTAGCTTGATCTCTATTATCAATGTTGAGTTCTTTAACTTGAATATACAGCGTAGGTTGTGCTCATCTATAATGCAAAATTGGTGAGCACAACTTTATTGTAATGAAAATTATCAAATTAAGAGCCTTGCATGCGCCATCCGAATATGAGACTGAAGTGAAGTGTCGATTATACTCTGATGACAGTGTTGACTTTAATACGCATTTATATAAATCGGATGAATTGAATTTAATGAAAACCATGTACGATCATTTTAATAAAGTGGGGAGTACGCTCAATAATATTAAGATATCTCTTGCCGAAGTGGTCGCAGGAACTAAGTTGTCTCCAAAACGTGCCTGAAAAACAAGCGCCAAATAAGTTCACTGGTTCTAAAAAATAAGATTGTCTAGGTTCTGGCTCCTAAGGCAAAGGTAAGAATGAGAGGAACGAGAAGCAAATGAATCGATTGATGTAACGGGCCATTCGTCTTCCTCAATAAAAAAGTTAACAAAAGAAGCTCATAACTTTTCCGCCACCTACTGCTCGGCACCAATAAACGCATTGTCTAACGGTAATAAACGAAAAGAGTTCATTATACTTTTACCCAGAAAATCAATATTTATATCGCCTTTTGTATTAGATATAATAGAAGAGGATATAAATTACTACATAAAATCTAAATTGGGTTTGTATATTGAAACTAAATTCAACTTTTCATACAGTCACATTAAATCATCATTTAAGCTCGTTGTGTCGGAAAGTTGTATGGCAATATCTGGCCTTCAAACACATTCGTTCATGAGTACACACGTAAAAAAGATCGTACACAATCTAGAATTGTCTAGCTTTCACTTGCTGACTAACAAACAAAATCAGACGACTAAATCAAATTCACCTACCTTTTATCTACGAAAACGTTTGCTGGCAGCTATTTCAGTTATTATATCTTGCTGTGTAGGGAAATATGGTAATATTTCTAATTCGGAAGTTGTACATGCTAAGTACAATATATATAGGCAGGATCGCATTAATAAAAGGGGTGGAAAGTCTTAATAACGGTATCAGTCAACTTGTGCTCTAGCTTTATGAACAAAATAATTGAATCAACTATTGAATTCATATCTATTTGAATAAAGCTGCATGGTAGATATATATTTCGTTGCGTTGTGTGATTCTGAATGCGGAAGATGGGTCACAAAAATAGTATTTGAGGAATAAATTTTACATTTGCAAATTATGTTTATTAGTCCCTTTATTATTATTCCTGCGCTAAAAAATAACAGAGCGATCATTGACTCGTTTGGTTTTTCATTGAAAGGAATGAATTGGTTTAGATAATTTTCTCCCTCGTTTATACTACATTTTGTCTTCTTATTTTCTATTGTTTACATCTGCATTATTTATAAGTTTGCTTAACCTATCGGACATTATAATTGCTTGCATTAAATCAGGTTATTGGTTAGGCGACGTTATTTCATTTATCCGATTTGTTTTTCATGGCTGATAATTGACACTTTAAAGTGTTGTCGTTAAATTTTCTTTATTTTTCTTTTCTAAATATTTTAGTTTTTGTATATTTCGCTTAATTGAATATGTTCTCTACGTTAAGTAAACTACAACATCCTGATATATATTTCTCTGAACTCATTATTAACCGCTTATGGCTCTCATGTAAAAGCCCTCAATAAATTCGAGGACATTGGGTTTAATAAATATTTCGCAAAATGGATATGTTCTTATCGAAACGAACGACTCAACATGTATAATCTACCCTCTAAAGAGGCCGTAGTACACTTTGCAATGCCTCAACGTAGTCATCTTGAACTTGTTTTGTTGATATTGTTTACAAATGACTCACCAAATATCATAAAACTCTCTCGGATTTTAATGTATGTTGATATCGTTAAACTTATCTGCAGGTTGAATAACTTTATGATGTATAATAGTTATGTTCGAAATGCACTTTGTAACTAATAAACTTATATATACAATATTAACGTGCACTTTTATGGGTTTTCGTCCGTGACTCTCGGCGAACCAGTCGGTGGGCTGCACGTCTAAAAATGCCAGTGACTGATCCAACATTACCACTCTCACGTTTCTGGCATTCCCTGGATATGTTGCCAATATGGCTGTTCAAACATTGAGGTATATTTTCTTTTTTTGTTATGACCGTTGTAACGGGTTTTCGATTTTTGGTCTGTCGTTTTCATTTGAACCCATACCGAAATCCGTTTAGTTTTTCAATTGGTCAATGTTTACAAAGTCCCGATTTTAAATGTGAAGCAAATTTTGGTCGAGTTCAGTCAGCTCCGTGAGGTGCTCACCAATGCGAAAGCCGTTCGAACAGGATAAGAATTCGTGAATTTTCCTTGTGTGTCCATAACGCTGCAATGAATTGTGCAAGCGATTCTACACATTAAGCTGTTAGCGAAACGAAAAATTAAATGAAAATGACTTATTTAGTAATCCGCTTTATTTTGTTACAATATAAACTTCTGTGAAAAATTTGTTGGCGCGTCAGAACAAATTAAGGCTTGCAGACTATGTTATAATTAAGCAAAACAACTTGTAATTAACTTAAACAAATAGTTAAAAATTTTACGGTAAATATTCATATCGTATACGTAAATGTGCCGTGAACAGCAGCATTGCCAATTCTCTGAAAAAAAAGGATTGGTTTATTTTGGTGGAATGAAGCGAAATTGGATGCTCCTTTTGTGATTTGTATTCTATATTTTTCTCTGAAAGGAATATTGCCGTACTCTATTAGGTCATTTTTGCGCCAAACAAATTTGTTGCGTTAGCAAACTATAGATTTTGAAATTTTCAGCGCCTACTGACGAAGCTTTTTAGGCATGCGATGAATGCCTCAGTTGTGTGTACTTACTAGCCTCCTCGAGGCGTTCAACTTTTGTAGCAAAGCAGCGAAATATCGCTCTATAAGCTTTTATTGAAAGGATCGCCAAAATTAATTGCAGCATTGAGGAATAGCCGAAGAGTTTGTTCTTTGTTTGAAGTAAGGTCTTTCATAATTTGCTTCATTAACCTAATTGCTTTTGATCTGCTGCCTCAAAAGTAACGCTACACTATATATCGTGCAATTAATTTAGTTGTACTGTAGCTTCTTCACCACAATAGTAGCTAGTTGCCGTATGTGTGTGAATAGGACTGGATAGGATCCAATAGAAAATGGCTACTGACTGCAAGCGTCCCTTAATCGAAATAATTCCCCTTTAATCCTAAGAGGGTTTGAGTAGGCTTAGCTGGCTACATCTGTGAACACATTCATGCGTTTGGGGTTCCTTTAACTCTGAATTATAAACTGACTATAGGGCTGTGATTTTGATGAATAGTGCGTGCTGTAATTTTGAATTGAAGTATAGTACTGTTTTTGAATTGCAACCAGTTGCCTGTTGTTTACATATTTCGCTGGAAGGTCAGCCTGAATACGCTATGTAAAAGAAAAGAGTGTTCATCTAAGAATAATTGGCCGAAGAATCAAAGAAAATATGTCACTCTCCAGCCATTAGATCTTTAGATCTTCAGTTATTAAATCTCTGGAACCCGCCGGCAGGGTTACCCTTTGAATGCTCTTGTCGAAGAGTTCCTTTATTCGAGTACCCGTTTTCCACGAATAAAGATAGACTTGTCGAGACAATCCAAACAGCGCGGGTCATCAGTTGATCGCTCAAATGTGCGGCACATAACTCTAAATGTGGAATTATTTTTCTCTTGATCGATGCGACACGAGATTCAGTACATAGCAACCATTCCTTCATCGTTAGTAATTGCATGACGGGAAGTTTCAAAGGGGGACGGCGTAGTTAAAAACGGCGAAAAGATGAGAATGCTGAAAAACACGCGAAATTGAGGAAAAATTTATTGAGTGGACTAATCTCTTTTATCTCTGTTGAATACTTGCCCTGAATGTATTAGCACATAAGCGTAACGCAGCCGAGAATTGTCTAGAGTTCTGCACACAGCGTACACATTTTCTCTCCATGAACATGAAGGGTTGCCAATTCTTCTATATTGACACCACCACAAAGGGAGGACTTGTTCATCACTGTTCCCCTGCGCTAGGAGGTCGCTACGGGGTTTTGGTAAAATTAAAGCTTACCTTATTTATATTGTCATGATGTCCCGACTTGGCGCGTCATTCATCATGCAGCGTTTGTTCTGTATATCGTTGATGCATCATCTCCCACTGAAGGTAAACGAACAACACAAGGTGATGTCGCCTGCAAACTGATAGGGTTCTCTGTTATGCACAGCAAGTCTTTAATGAACACCAGGAAAAAAGAAGGGGAAGAGTCCTCATACTAAAGGAGAACAAACGACATAAGGAAAAGACAAGGGGAGAGAATAGAGTCCTGCGGCACATTTGCATCTAAATAAAAACCGTCTGGAAAGTACCCGTCAATTACAACTCTTATCGAATAGTGGCCCAAAAAACTTAATATAAATGTAGCGAAAATGCTCTCTATACCATATGCAACCAGTTTGAAGATAAGAGCATTATGTCATACTCTGCCAAATGCTTTGGAGATATGTAGGGCAACGACCGTACTCACACCAAAATAGCAAAAAGCCAGTGGACCAATTTTCTCAAAAGACATTTTTTCTAGCGCTTATTAAGTCGTTGGATAGTAGTTGACCATGGTCCCCATGCATTTGGCTATATCGGAACAGAGTGCAATTAGGCGAAAGTTAGCAGGATTTGTGGGTTCACCCTTTTTGGTATGGAGTGGACATAGACGACCGTTCAGCAAATTGGAAAAATGCCTACATGGTAGCACTTGCTGATAAGATGGCGTAATGGTCGTAGCAACTGTTTCTGCGCAGTTTCTTAGGCTCGAATTCTGCAGTTGTTGGGATTGGCAAAAACTTTTTTAACGGCCCTCGTTCGAAGGAATAATGTAGACATCGAACGTGCTACTCTTTTAAGTGGAAGCAGTGGTTGATTTGTGGTATTTTGGCTTTTGAAGAAAATATTTAAGCTAACACATTAACTTCATCATCCAGGTTGGATATTATTTGGTCATTACTGAGAATTCGAATTGAAGGCGTAGAATGAAAACTAAAAGTTATTGCTATTTTTCGGAGCGGCAAGAGCTTTCATAAGCAGCCGCTTCTCGCGTTAAGCTTTTTGGCAGCGAAGTACCTGATTGAATATATATCTAGTTTATGTAGTAGATTTTATTGTCCTTTGGGTTAAAACGCCAAACATTAATTGCTTCCTCTTTTGTCCTGACTGCATCTTTGAAAGTCTGATCAAACCAGCATTTATCTTTTGGCTTCCTCGATGCATCTTGAAAGCAAAATATCTTCGCATTGCATGTGTGATGATGTTTTTTATAACGCTTGGAATACGTGTTGGTTCATTTATATGTTGCATTGGGCAAGTGCCACAATCTCTGCGTTGAGGAATTGTACGAGGGCAATGGCGCAACCAGTTTTTATAAATCTTGCAGAATGGAAGTTATTATGTTGGATAAGGTGTCAAAGCCATTAGAAGAAATTATCCACTCAAAGTTTTGACTTCTATATAAAAATTCAAAACTCAGCCAGGTAAATTCGGAATTCTGCTTGCTATATTGCTGCTGAAACTGGAACACTACATCATTTCGAGTGCACATCAAAACACCCCTGTATTATACGAGTATTTGGATGATTTGGTTTCACAAAGGACTACTATTTCAGATCAATATTTACAGATGTGTGTGTATGCCGCGACAAAATTTGTCTGCAGCTCACGTGTGTTGCAGTGATGGATTTTAAATTTACTCAATGCATTGGATTTAGTGGGGAATATTGCTGTTGCAGAGACATAAAAATCCTAAGTGGATCTTTAAATCGATTTAATGTTATTCTTACCGCTTTAATCTTAGCGGTTATTGTTGTTGCTTCTTCCGTTGGTGTTGTCGTTATTGTGTTGTGATTATTGTTGTTTTATAGTTGGTGTTGACAGTTTGTTGCCGTGTTACTATTATTTTTAGATGATTTCACTATTGTTTCTGCTTTGGTGTTGTTTGTTTTTCGATTTTTTGCTAAATTGGCTTCTGCTTTAGCTGTTCCTGTTTTGTGGTTGCTATTTTGTTGTGGTTTTTTTTTTATCATACTTTGTGGATCCAATTGCAGTGATGATATTGTTATATTTTTTTGTCAACGTTGCTGTTATGGGTAGTTTTGGTTTAGGTGTTAGCATAAATATGTCCCAAAGAAATGAATACGCAGAATTTTATAGAAGGTAAAATTAATCGAGTGAAGAAAAATATTACAGTAAACGCAACCTGAAGCTAATACGCCTAGATGGCTAAAAGACAAAGATATCGAGAATGTGATGACCTAAACGAAACTAATTATTGTATACACATACAATATCTAATAGTAATAATAATAATAGTAATAACACAATTATGGGGCAATAATAATGAGAATGGAGAAAAATACAATGGAAATTCTCCCTTAACTTTTCTTGGTTTTGCTGCTCGGAAGGGAAACTTATATGGAAAAATAGGAATTTGAAATACAGTGAGCAAAGCTCAAATCCCATTCCAATTTTTTTCCAAATTTATAAATTAGGATATTGTAGTGTGATCGCATACCGTCGTATGCATCCACTTTGAAGTGCGGCAGAATTATGCTGAATTTGCATAATTCTGTAGCAAAAAAAAGTAAAACAAAAATTTTGTCGCACTTCAACTGGCTGGGTATTGCATTACGAAATGCAATACGATGCCAGACGCCCTAATTAAAATAATTGATAACGTTAGCATAAAATCACCTATAGATTTAAGTATAAATAATGCACCTGGCAAATAAAGAAGTTAATTGTTTTATGCAGTTCAATCAAAGCGTATCAACTCGCTGTTTTAAAAAAAGCGTTCTATCCGGCTCGTAACTTTAATTAGGGACCGTCTCTTGCCAAGTTCTTTTGGCACTACTTGGGACGGATAGACTCGGCGTTCTGCAGCCGAGCAGGATAGGGTTCTAAAGCAGTAAAACTACCTACACCTAGGGAAGGATTCATAGGGAATCCTCCCAAATACTGCAACGCATTTTTCTATCTCCACTACACATCGGCTGAGTATTAGCTTTTACCATTACATGGCTCCTTTACTTCTTTACAATATACTTATTTATATTGTTGGACAATCAAATCTGAACATCACGCAAAAGAAACTGTGTAACTATCCTTCTGTAAATGCTACTGAAATGCGTCGGTTTCAATGTATCATCAAATAAACAAATGTTAGATCCTGCTGAGGTAAATATGGCTTCAATCATATAAAATCGACCGTATACCGGCGATGGTAAACGGGTTTGAGGAAATAAGTTCCGCAGTTCAACAAAAGTTCATGCATGGTAGAGATATACTGTCGATAGCGCAATTTGTAGGTACATTGATATTAACTTACGAAGCCACTTATAAGAAGAAAATCATCAAGAACTAAGAAGAAACTTAAAATTAAATTGCACACATCTGTATATAAGTGCGAAAGAATTGCGAATTCAGAACGACTGCGAGATGTAACATAAGTTTTTATCAGTTTTAGTAGTAATTCAAAAAAAAAAAAAGGGGAAAAACTATTAATCGGCACGAATTTCGAATTGTACATTATAATTTCAAATTGGGTCGCTAGCACTGAAAGGTTAAAAAAAGTTGAAAATACCGTCAATATATAAAACAATACACATACAAGCGCATGAACTTAAAACGTTTGATAATCTACTCTACAGAAAGATTTATGGACATTTGATTAATTATTTAATGAATGACATTTTCTTTACAAAATGCAGCGCTGCACAAACCTTTGGGACTCTTCCCAGCTTCTTTGGCCTGTAGCAGCTCATCCGCGTCTCTTGTAGAATAGCCCAGCGACCTATGTAAATGTTTAAAAACTGTAGTTAAATTTTCGAAGTACTAAATGCTGTAATGCTAACCTTTATAGAAACCACTACATCTGTCCACAATGTTTCTTGGCTTGCAATGGATTTCCTTTTTTTTTTCTTTGTTTTTGGGATCCGCGGAACTTCAGTAAGATGTCATCAGCCAAGGCTCTAGGGGCTCCCACTATCAGCGAAAGGATGTGTTTTTTGGCACTTTAAGCTTTTTTACCGTTTACGAAGCAACCGATCATTGCTATCATGCCCAGCCCAATGGTTTTCCAGGTAAGCTCTTTCCTCAGACTGCCTCCAACATCCATTTATGGGAAGATCCGGAAAATTTGAGTTAGCTGCTTATTTTAATAAATTGAGCTTTTTGTGTTGACACCATTTTTGTTTTTGCGATCAGCTCTGGGTGCCCTCGACAAAAAGTATCTTTTTTGTTTTCTGCGTCTTATTGCTAGCAAACATCTGAATTAGTTCGCGGCGTTTGCAGTTTTTCTAAATTAAGTAAACATCTCGTGACGTTATGTTGAAAGTTTGAAAAAATTAAGATTACGGTGAGTGTCGTTATACACAGCACTCATGTTCTCACCTGTAAAAGATCAACTCGTAGTGCAGCGTGCAGTATTCCACCTCCGTCTTTGACGGAAGTCAAAACTCAAATTCATTCGGGTGCTCTATTCTTGTCTACAAAGAACGAGAGCTTTTCCTTTGTTTTTGACAGACCAGATATTATTAAACTCACAATTATGCTGGGAAGCTACCAACGTTTCATTTAAGCTGAGCTGGCAAGGGCATCTCCTCTCAGTAGCACCATTCATGCTAATTTGTCTAAATCTGCAAGGAATATTAATAAATATAACAAACCTGCTTCTCCCACTAGCTGTTCGAGTGTGCCCGCTGCTCCCCACGCTTGGCAAGTCGAACAAACAACTGCAGTCACTTCCTCTATATTATCGCCAACTCAAACTTCTATACCTGCGAATCTTATCTTCGTATCACAGGGGTGGCGACGTTGAATTTATTGCCATTCGTGCGAAAATTGCTAGTAAACAGTTATACGTAACTTTCTCTTATATTCCACCAAACGCGAATATCTCTATTTATAAGGAACATGCTGCCCGTTTTTGTGATGTCGCCGAAAAGTATTTATCAACTAATATAGTAAACGCATTGGGGATTTCAATTTGTCACTTAGTGTTATAGTGATAAATCAGGCTGCATGACCTCCTCTTTATCATCTGATAGAGTCATTAGGTTTTTCAGAGAAATATTATACGGTCTATACTAATTGTAATGGCAGACGGCTTTCTCTTTGCTTTGCCAATTTCCCGAAGATAGTTGTAAACCGCCGTTCATCTTTAAGGTTACTTGACACCGCTTTAAGAGTCCTGATCAGGATCATTTGTTATTATACAAAAAGGCCAATGCTCTATTCAGGAAGGAACTACGAAAATCAAAGGCACTTAGTTTCGAACTTTTTTCGAGAGGACTTCACAGAAATACATGAATGAAAGTTGTCTGGAGCAAAATCAACAAAATTAATGGAACTTCAAATCTGAACGAAATCTCCGCCATCTGCTTTCCCAATGGAACTTTAACTGATGCACATGAGATTTCTAATTACTTTGGAAAAGTGTGGTGCGAATACTCCTCTGACAGCAACTTCTCGAGTGCTTTCATCGAAAATAAAAGGACTCCAATTTCTCTTTCTAATAATATTGATAGATGTGCCATGTTCCTGGAAAATTGCATATCCACGTTAGAACTTGGAAGTTGTCTCTCCAATTTGAAGGGGAGAACACCTGGTCTAGACCGCATCTCATACTAAATGATCAGCGCTATGTCTAAGTCTAGTAAAAAGAAATTACTGGACCTATATAATACGGTATTTTTGACTGGCCATATACCCTACATGTGGAAACTGGCAACAGTTGTTCCAATTCCAAAGTCAAAAAATGCCTCCATCGCATCGGACTATCGCCCAAACTTTCTTTTATCTTGCCTCTAAAAGGTATTGGAAAAGATTATGGCATCTAAATTATCTTGCTTAATTGAGTTCAAGAACCTGATAACAAAGCAACAACTTGGTTTCAAGCGGGATAGAGGGTGCATCGACGGTCTGTTGATTATTTTACAAGCAAAGCAATTTCCGAACGAAATCACGTAACAATTCCTCAATTGATTTCGAAAAAGCATTTGACAGAGTTGGTCTCCATGTTATTTTAAGACTCTTAAAATCATGGAATGTTGGACCTAAATTTTGCAACTACATCAAATCATTCATGTCGCATCGGCGGTTTAAAGTTAGAATCAACAATCACGTCTCTGATTCCTTTCCGCTAATGAATGGCATTCCGCAAGGATCTCCTCTTTCTGTCACCCTTTTCCAAAATCGACTTCAACGAAATTAGCCAAATTCTTTGTCGTGTACCAAGAGTGGAACATTGTCTCTACACGGACGATGTATACATTTTTACAAAAAAAAAAGATAGCACGAAAGCAATCAACATCCTCGAGTTTATTGGACGAGAGATCTCCGCATGGGCAAACTCGTCGGGGGCTAAAATTTCCATACGAATTTTAAAAAAATGCACATTTGTCGAAGGCAGATTTGCGATCCAGGAAATATACTTATGTATATTAATAACTTCCCAGTACTAAACGTGCAGACGCTGCATATTCTTGGACTCTCTTTTTCCAGCAAATATCGTTGGAAATCACACTGTCCTCGCTTAAAAAATTCTATTTTAACAAGGGTGAATTTCATACAGTACGTTGTTTAGAGAAGCCATGCGCATATTAACACTATTGCTTATCTTACCAAAATGCTTGTGTTAAGCAAGATTGACTATGCTTTGATAATTTATGGCAATAGCTGCAAATCTAATATCAACATCCTTAAACCGGTCTATCACCAAGCCGCCAGAGCAAGTTATTTGCTTTTCGGACCACGCCCATATATAATATTATAATTGAAACTGGTCTCCCAACTTTAGAATATAGACTTTATGAGTTAAAAGCTAAAATATTCCCTAAGCTTCTTAATTGAAACAAATCTATTCTCGGTGCTGACGTGAGAAAGATTATTATTGCGAAGAAACATCCAAAGTCACTATCTGCAATTGTCTATTGTTTGTACGTTGCAAAGGAATTGAACATTCCCTTAAAAATGTTTCGCTCTTTTGGTGTTAAACTTCCACGGATTTTGAAAGACTGCTCTTTTGACATCTCGCTGTCTATGCACAAGAAAGAAGATACTCCAAATTACGTCTTCGGGAATCTAATAGCTGAGAAAACCCAAATATTGGAGAGTACTGGTTGGAATCTTTTAGACACAGACGCCTCAAAGTTTTCTGGTCTGCCTCCTGCTTGTGCCGTGGTAGATGCTACAGGACAGATTCTTCTAAATCACATATTTCACGAAAGTGCTTCAACTTTCATAACCGCAGCCAGAGCTATCCTTTACGGTGCAAAGCTTGCCCGTAAAAACAAACTCAAAACCGTCATTGTTACTGACAGTTTGTCTGTGTTACAAGCTGTTCGGAATTCTTCGACTTCGAGATGGAGCACCATCAACAAATTAAGGAATATAATTACTACACTTGGCGGAAAAATAAAATGTTATGGGTACCAAGTCATTTTATTTGGAAATGAGCAGGCTGATCGAGCGGCAAAGTATGCTGCTTTTGCTCCGCTAATTATGGATGATGTCATGGAAAAGTTGGATCTTCAAAGATACATTGGAAGAAAAGTTAAAATGAAAATTGCAGAAGGAAATTTACAATACCATCATCAGCATTACTCTTCCATTAACCCTTTATTAACTCCACCTTTATATCCAACAAACGTTGAGAAAACCAAGATCCAAACATTTTCGAGAATTCGCCTTGGTCATACAATTGCAACTCACCAATGGATCTTAAAGAAGTCTTCCTGCCCAATCTGCAGTTTTGGACAAACTCTCACTATAAAGCACATTACCTGCGACTGCCTTAACTTTTCCGTGACTAGAAGTATTTATTGCATTTGGAACGACTAACCCTTTGGACATTTTAAAATCAGCTTCAGAACCGAATATCAATCCTATATATTACTTTATTAATACTACTAAGCTCATTCTCTAATGTGCATCTTCTTATATTAGAGCTGATAGCCTGTGCTGTTAGTGCTCAATGTCTTTTTTTAGTCTAAGAATTTATTTCATTAGTCTAAAATTATAATAATAATAATAGGTATCGAAATTTTGATGTGAGACGTAAAACAATATATATATTTTCTTTTTTAAATATGAAAAAATAGACCAAATGAAAAAATGAAATGGAAAAAAACTAACTTTAAAAATTGAGACACATCAAAAATAATTTTTTTTTCCCGCGGAAATATTCGAATGTATATAATATTGAAAATAATTCTAAATCAATAGCAAACAAAATTTGATGAATCGATTTTTGCATATGAAATATATATACAAATTATAAAATATTTTCTTAATGAATAAAGGGCAAAAATATAGGAAAAACTTATCCGAGTCAAATTCCGAAATATTTTGTTCGAAAATAATGAATGCGATCCAAGCCAACCTAATCAAGAGAAAGTCAATTTTCCCAAGCAGTGAAGGAACCAAAGGAACAAACATCGAAAATAAAATACATCAACGAAAACGGGTCGAAAGCATAAAATGCTAAAATATTGGTAAAAAAAAGAATAAGAAAGAGAGAAGGAACCAACTAAAGAAATTCTTCATTGTGGTTATTGGTAAAAAAAATATTATTATTATTAATTATTTGTGTGTTTAGTTGTTTAAATCAATTTTCTTGACAAAAAAAATTTTAAACTTTATTATTCATTAGATAGCCTTAATTTTTTTTGTCTTTTTTGAATAAAAATAACTTATATATATTATATATATTTATTTAAAAAAAAAATTATACATGTTGCAATTAATTACGGTAATACTTCCCCTTGATGCTGCGAAACCAGCTTATTATGCACTGAAAAGTTTAGATGCCTTTTTATTGGGAGTTCGCTTTAAATTATTTACCGACCTGAACATATTCTTATTCTTATTCACTCATGTGTGTTAATTGAAACAAATCTATTCTCGGTGATGACGTGAGAAAGATTATTATTGCGAAGAAAATTCCAAAGTCACCATCTGCAATTGACTATTTTTTGTACGTCGCAAAGGAATTAGATATTCCCTTAAAATTTTTTCGCTCTTTTTGTGTTAAACCTCCCTGGATTTTGAAATACTACTCTTTTCACATTTCTCTGTCTATGCACAAGAAAGAAGATACTCCAAATTATGTCTTCGGGAATCTAATAGCTGAATAAACCCAAATATTGGAGAGTACTGGTTGGAATCTTTTATACACAGACGGCTCAAAATTTTCTGGTCTGCCTCCTTCTTGCGCCGTGGTAGATCCTACAGGACAGATTCTGCTCAATCACATTTTTCACGAAAGTACTTCAACGTTCACAACCAGCCAGAGTTATCCTTCGCGCCGCGAACCTTGCCCATAAAAGCAAACTCAAAACCGTCATTGTTACCGACAGTTTGTCTATATTTCAAGCTATTCGGAACCCTTCGAGATGGAGCACCATCAACAAATTAAGGAATATAATTACTACACTTGGCGGAAAAATTAAAATGTTATGGGTACCAAGTCACATCGGTTTATTGGGAAATGAGCAGGCTGATCGAGCGGCAAAGTATGCTGCTTCTGCTCCTCTAATTATGGATGATGTCATGGAAAAGTTGGATCCTCAAAGATACATTGGAAGAAAAGTTAAAGAGAAAATTGCAGAACAAAATTTAAAACACCATCATCAACACTACTCTTCCATTAACCCTCAATTAACTCCACCTTTATATCCAACTAATGTTGAGAAAATGAAGATCAAAACATTTTCGAGAATTAGCCTTGGTCATACAATTGCAACTAACCAATGGATCTTGAAGAAGTCTTCCTCCCCAATCTGCAGTTGTGAACAAACTCTCACCATAAAGCACATTCTCTGCGACTGCCTTAACTTTTGCTTGGCTAGAAGTATTGCATTTGGAACGATTAACCCTTTGGACATTCTAAAATCAGCTTCAGCACAGAATATCAATCCAATATATTACTTTTTTAATACTACTAAGCTCATTATCTAATATCCATTTATTTAAATTAGAGCCGATAGCCCGTGTTGCTGGTGCTCAATATCTTTTTTTTAGTCTAAGAATTTATTTCATTAGTCTAAAATTATAATAATAATAATAATAGTAGTTTACTTGAGCACCATCCAGCAATTTGTATATCTCTTTATTATAGATATGATTGTCCGTTGTACCATTCTAATGTGTCAAATCCAGCTTCCGCCGATAAACATTATGATTTGAATAAAAATAAATATTTTCCTGTTTAATCTCATTTTTCACACATGAATTTAGATTT